CCCCAAAACCCCAAAACCCCAAAACCCCAAAACCCCTATAAATTTATTATTTTAAGTAAAAATATAACTCCAATTAGATTTACTGTTAAAAATCTGGTCAATTAACTATTCTTTTCTATCATTGGCCTTTCGAATCTATCGTTTGACATTGTATCTTTTGAGGTATTTTCTATTTCAGTACTCATCTGAGTTTGAGCATGGTTTCCGACACTAAATGAGAAAGAGCCACTTTTTAATCCTGCTCTTTTTCTTCTCAAAATTTCTCGAACAAAGAATTGCGCAATTGTCCCAAGAACTACAAACCCAAGCATAAGAAAAACAGCAGGGTATTTATGACCGATATCAAGCAGGTTTCCCACTGCAAAAGTTAAGCCTGAAGCAAATATAGAGCCAAAAAGCATAAGGATCCCTCATGACAAGGCTTCATTGACAGGATATGTTAATTCTCATCAAAAGCTGTATGCAACTCCAATACTTGGTAATTGTGCAACTCCAAGAAAGAAAAGAAGTGAAGCTGTCAGTGGCTGACTACCCACACTCATTGTTGCAATCACTGCACCCATTGTAAGAATTCAAGCAAAGCCAATGAAGAGATATTGGAGTTTATACTTCTGATATTTATCAAGAAGAATGGCATGACCAAAAGATCCAAAAAGGCCTCCAAAGATATAAGCAGTTCCAAATATACTGTTTGCTGAAGGAGGAAAGTTAAATTGGAAAGAAAGCTGTCCAACTGCAGCACCCAGAGTTATATAAATACTATAGATAAAGGAGAAAGACACTAGTAGCATTATGAAGTCAACCTATAGTTGTTAGAAATTAAAAAATACGTTTTTGAATAAGACCCCTCAACTTCTTCATTGATTAGCTGGTCTTTTCTTTAAAGCTTTTGCAGCGTTTGCACTAGGAGGAGTTGGAGGGTGGTTTCGGATGAAGAATATAATTGGGAGTCCCAAAACAGTAATGATTATATTTTGTATAAGTATATATCTGAAAAATATTCTTTGCCCATGTTCAGGAGTGTTATTTGGCGGTGCATCTTTTTCTCCAATCAATGGTAGAGGAAGCAAAAATCCTAAAACAGCTCCAATTGGTGCTGCTAATGACCCTAAAGTGGTAGAGATAGCCATTTCTTTGTCTCCAAACCATAAAGCAGATAGCTTTGCTGGAGCTGAAAGCACAAAGGGTTGGCCAAGAGCCATTATCACTTGACCTCCAATCACAGCAAAGAAATTATAGTTGACAAAAAGTCTGACCCAAGCACCAACCAGGAGAGTCACAGTAGCCCAATAAACGGGAATGCTTATCCCATAGTTCTCGATAAGATAGTTAGCAGGGAATATCAGAGGGATGAACAAAATGATGAAGGGTAGCACTAGCATATTTGTTACTAATCCTGACACATCATAAATATCAGAGATGATTGGAGTAATAGCGGTCATTCCAACCATACCTAATCCACTGGCAACAATAGAGGTTGTGAAAAATACACAAATCACCCATCTGATAGGGTAAAGTTTAAACTGAGATTTGCTTATCTCTGAATCTGTTTTCATCGACGAGGTAGATGATCTCTCAGATTTAGCATTTATCGACTGTTCATCCTGAGCAATCTGAGTCTCTTGGATTGCTCCTGAGAAGCTGTTTGTTTCCATAATAAATTATCCCAAATTTGTCAATATATTTAAGCTATTCTGGGGTTTTGGGGTTTTGGGGTTTTGGGG